CCCGAGCTGTCTCCCTGTGCATACACTGCCTTCTATTCTCCCATGATCTCTCTGAGGAGTGGTTCTCCCTATGTAAATGTTTAGCTCATGTGCCTGTCTTTTGTTTGGCTGGAAACCACAGGAGTAGTTTCAACTGCAGACCTGAAAGGCAGCTAGGGACCATAGTCTTAGGGGTTCCACTAGGCTATATCAAACCAGCAAACCTGGCCCTTTTTTGTAAAAAATGATTTTGAGTTTTGTTCCACATTATTCTGCCACTCTATCCTGGATCTCCTACAGAGATCCCCCTCTGAGTGGTTGACAGTGGTAGCTGGGCACCATCTAGTTTTTCAGGTCTCATAGTTGTATAGGCTGAGGATCGCATGGTATACCAGTCCCTTGGACTAATTGTTTCCATGTGTCTTTGGTTTTCTTCTTTCTTATTTGCTCTGGATAAGGAGAGACCCATTGTTATATCTAGATGGCTGCTTGCAAGCTTTTAAGATCCCAGTTACTACTTGCCGAAGTAGGATGTGTAACAATGTTTTTGTGTAGTATCTTATGCCAATTGAGCTTGATGTCCCCTGCAACTATGGTCCCGAGCCCACAGGTGCAATTACACACTCTCTCTGGGTAGCTGGCTGTGGCCAAGTGACTACAACCTGGCCCCTTGTCAGTTCTACAATATAACTGGAAATTCTTACAGAACATACAAATATGCTTGTAGAAACATTGTCTGCCAACCCTATTCACTCCCACCTGCACAGATATACCTAATAGTTCAGCCTGTGCAGCCATCTATCTACCAGTATATTAATGTTTTTCTTCACTGACGATGCAGTACTGTATGTGCAAAAGGGTTCATCTTTGTTGTCTGTAACTCCCATGCACCTCTCTCAGTCTTCCTTTTCCTCGATGCCACTTTGTTGGTCACTCGCATTTGGTACATTGCCTTTTCTTCACCCAAATCAATACTTGTCTCTACTCATCTAACAGTGTACCCTCCTTCCCTCCCACCCCTGGTAACCAACAAAGAAAACTTCCTTCCATATATAAACCTTTCCTTGACTTTTTACAGTAATGGACTAATACAATATTTGTCCTTCTGTGTTTGGCTTATTTCACTCAGCATAATGTCCTCCAAGTTCTTCCACGTTATGCGGTGTTTTGCCGATTCTATGTTATTCTTTAGGGTTGCATAGTATTCCATTGCGTATGTGTACCATAGTTTGGTTATACATTCTTCCGTTGATGGGCATGTAGGTTTTTCCATCTTTTTGCTATTGTAAATAGTGCTGTGATGAACATGGGTGTGCATATATCTATTCTTGTCCTGGCTGTCTCTTCTTTAAGATATATACCTAGTAATGGAATGTCTGGCTCAAATGGTATTTCTAATTCCAACTTCTTAGGGAATTGCCATACTGCTTTCCACAGTGGTTTTATCATTTGCCAGTCCCACCAGCAGCATTTGAGAGTCCCAATCTCTCTGCATCCTCGCCAGCACTTGTTATTTTCTGTCTTGTTGAACTTTGCTACTAGTGCTGGGGCAAGATGGTATCACATTGTTGTTTTGATTTGCATTTCTCTAATGGCTAATGATTGTGAGCATTTCT